ATCATTTCTGATGGCTATCACTGAATCATTTTGAATCCCTCTATGCTATCATATCCTCTTTCTTTTCTATCTATCAGATGGAATGCCCAACTGAATCCCTTCTCACTGAATCATTTTTGCTAATTTCACAAAATAAGAAACTGAATATTTACATGCATCAAAATTTTTGAAAAGATATAAAGTGGTTTTCAAATTTCAATGAATTGCCCATCGCACTCTGTATGTCTTTATTTTTTAATACTTTTATAATTTTTTTCTGTTCCATGTATAATTAATAGCTACATTAAATATTTATCTTCCAAAACAAAACCAACCCATAAATATTAATGATATTTTAACATTTACATGTTATATAATTTCATGACTCAAAAAGATTTTTCTACAAATTTGAAAATATGTTCTTGTCTCTAAATAATGTTACTACAATCATTAAATAAGAAAAGGATCAAAGAATAAAATTATCAGCAAATGTTGTTAAAATATTTGAGTGATAAATGATAAAGAAAAATCTTTTTACTATTGATTCAGATTAGAATGGTCAATTTCTTCCTCTCTTTTTTATCTATGAAATATTTTTAATAACAACAATAAAAATATTTTCATATTTGATGATAATTTTATACTTTTATATTTATGGTTTCTAAAGTAATAATAATAATAATAATAATAATAATAATAATAATACATTTGATGATGAACTGTTTAGTATTACATCCAGTGTAATATATATATATAATGTGTGTGTGTGTTTATGCATGTATATTTCTGTGTGTGTACATCTGATAATCACTCTTTGTTGTGGAGGAGGGGGTTGTGCAGTCTAAATGACTCTGACAGTGATACCATTGGGAGTTTTAAACTTCTGCTAAGGTCTTCCTTGGTGGCAAGCTCGAAGACGTGGACTCAGACTAAGTGTGACCAACCCTAAAGACCCCAATGGTGGAACAAGCAGTGGTTGGACCAGTGGATGAAGAGGTCTATGCACGATGGACATGCTACAGAAAGTGCCACTCAAAATTATAACAGAGTCAGCAGCAGTCCATTGCAGTTTCATAACTGGATTCTACATATCTTATTCCATGTGTTGCTGTAGTGGAAGGTCATGAAATCAAGTGTGTGGGTCACTTCCTGGCAAGTTGAAGTCCACCTTAAACAAATTCATGCCATCAGCACTTTCTTCTACTCTGATTTTCCTTTTTGTTCCCAACTCTTGCAGAAAAAATGGAAGTTTCTAGTTCTGAGCCTTCACATTAGTGGTGAATTTAGTCACCAATGCCATCATGATAAAGGAAGTAATCATTAAAGAAGAAATTAAATTCTTGGATATGAGATAAAGCTGATGACTATATATATATATATATATATATATGTGATAGCAGCTACTTCTTTACAGAAGAATGCTATCTCTTCAATGTTGAGTTGAGTGGCCATGAACAATGACTTTGCAAGCCAGCCTTGCTCCTGCATACTTTTTTTTACATATGTGACACACGAATAGGTTTTGGAGAGTTTTAAAAGTGATTTTCTTTTCATGCATGCTAAATTACAACAGACCTGCAAATTTTATCACATAACGTGCAGGCCTGTCAGGAAAGACATCCACATGGTTGACATTAGACTGATTTTCATGTGATATTAGATAATTAGTAAATCTGGCATGAGATAGAACAATCTCCCTACAGATGTTACATACAAGCTCAGATTGAATATTTTCTGGCATTGAGATTGTATCATCTTTTTTAAGAGTACTTTTTAATTTCAAATGATCAGCCCTTTTGACTTTAAAGAAATTTCTACCATCAAAAAATAACTTTTTCCATTCAGACCTATTTTCTGCATTTTTTCCTAGTCTTTGACACTAATTATCACACATTGAGTGCTGATGCTAATAAAATAATGCTAGATGTATAATAACAGAGCTATAATTTATATTAATAATAAATGTACATTTATTTCTTCAACAGTAGCACAACTCTGAATTTCATGCACAATGCAATTGTCAGGTACTGATTGAAAACTTTGTCACACTGGGCATGAAACTCAGAGTTGTTCTACCGGTGAGGAAAAAAAATGTATATTTATCAAATCTGAGTGGTTCGATAAGGTCAAATTGGCATCTGGTCTAAAAAAAATTATCTACTTTCTGTTGTTAACTGGGGCAAGGAATGGCTTATTAATTTTATCACCTCCATAATGAAACTGCTCTCTTTTAATTGTGTGAGAGATCCCTTTTTACCTTTTTTTTTTTTCCTTTGTTTAACCTTTTTTTTTTTCCCCTTTTTTTATATTTAATTGTCTGAGAGATCCCTTTTTACCTTCCATTAGAATGTCTGATGCTAACCTCCAGGTAAGTGATTCATTGCGCCTTTTTGGACTAACATTTTCTACTGACATGAAGTAGAAAGATTATATTGAATCAATTCTTAGGTCTGCTGCTAGGAAAATTTGTTTTCTGTGTCGCACTAGACAATTTTTCTTGCCAGAATCTGTCTTACATATTTTATTCATCCTTGATTTGAATACTGTTGCCACATCTGATATTAGATATTTAGATATTCTTGATAAAATCCAAAGAACAATCTGCAATGTTATTATTCCTGATCTGGCATCTTGCCTTCAGTTTCTTTCCCACCACCGTAATGTAGCTTCCCTTTTTATAAATACTTTCGTGGTAATTGTTCTGATGAATTTTCTCCTTTGGTATCTAGACTTTATCAATTTAAGTACAGTACTAGATTGAGTGGAAGATCTCATCATTTTACATTTGAAATGGCCGCTAGATGTAACTGTAAGTTAAATACTAACAGTTTCATTTCTTGCACTTCTAGCTTGTGAAATGCTCTTCCAGCTTCTTGCTTCCCAGTCAACTTTGATCTCTAAAAAATTTAAATGTAATGTCAAGTGTTATCTTCTATCTTCTTAATTCCTGTTCTTTTATTGTTTTCTCTCTTTAATAGTGTTTATTTTCTTTCTCATATTCTCTAACACACAGTTACCTAGTTTGACTTAGTGGCTTTATTGCCTTACTTGGGACAAATGATATATATATATATATATATATATATATATATATATATAGGAGTAATACAAATAAAATTTTTCACTTAACTGATTGATGTTATATTCAGCTCATTGATTCTAGAGTTTCATAGATGAACTGTTTTGTAATTGTTTTTCAGGAGGTTTCAGCAATTAATTGCAATTTTATATATATATATATATATATATATATATATATATATATATATATATAATTATATGTATGTTATAACATCACTACAAAATAGCCATTTTGTTTCAACACTTCTGGTGTCTTGTCAAGTGATGGTCCTGATTGTAAAATAAAAAAAAAAACTTCAAAAACAATCAACACCTTCACCTGACAAGTCACCAGAAGTGTTCAAACAAAATGTCTATTTTTGTACTGATGTTATAACATACTTATGTTATAAATTTTAAATAAATATTATTCGCTCTACTTTGTATTGAGCACTTTTTAAAAAATAATGTTTTTGGTTACTGGATTTTAATTCCATCTATACCAACCTTGTATTCGGAGATATCTATCTATCTATATATATATATATATATATATATATATATATATATACTATTTACATTATTTGAACTATTGTCCTCACTTTGTTGCCATATTTATCACAATGTTTTTGGCCATTGTATGCTCCAGCCTTCTTCAGGTGGTTGGAATGTTGAACCAACCCTTTATTTCACTCGCTGTTCTAGTTCAACATGCCATGTCTAATGGATGTCAGTTATATCCAGTGACAGGTCCCAAAGAGTGTGAGTTCAATACCTGGTTAAGGCAGTGGAGAACTTGGAAAGGGGAATTAGCAGGAGATAACTGATAACTGACATCCATTAGACATGTCACGTGGAACTAGAACAGTCTACCACAGCGAGCAAGATAAAGGGTTGAGTTCGACATTCCAACCACCTGAAGAAAACTGGAGCGTACAATGGCCGAAACATTGTGATAAATATGGCAACAAAGATGAGGACAATAGTCTGAATAATGTAAATAGTGTACATAACACCTCATCTCAGAAATATAGATATATATATATATATATATATATATATATATATATATAGTCTTAAGGTGTGCTATATTTATGGAATAAAGTGCTCAATATCAGGGGTAGAGCATGTGTAAATATAACATTGAAGTCAACACTTAGAGGCGACACTCTGTTTCATGCTAGATGCAATTTCTATAGACACATTTCTAGCATGAAACAGACTGTCACTTCTAAGTGTTGACTTCAATGTTCACTTTGATATGTTGAAATTTTTTTACCGTTAACAATTTAAAAAAAAAAAAAAATTCAGACGACATCCATTCAACTGATGTCAGGTTTCATTGTAAAATACATCCCTACCCCTTACCAAATTGTAGCTAATAACTGATACAATGATACTGACATAAGGAAAATCTAGACATCCCTTGTTCAATTTAAGTAGAATATTCTGTAACCATGGAAACGTGATTTTAGCTGTGTCTTTAAAACCCAGTAATTTTTAAAAGTTACTCCAAAATTCGCTTGAAGATGAAATGGAACTAATGCTTTTAATTTAATTGCAAAATTAAATTCGGGGTTTTAGCTTCTATTTTTGAAACATGGTTGGAACTGTGTAGAAATAAAAAAAAACATATTTTAAATCAATTAATTTATAATATTAATGCTCTGTAAATTTACATTGAGCACTATTTTGTAAAATAAAAATATCTATAAGAACACGGATTTTATATCTTACTGTTTTTCTTTTTTATTTTTTATTATATATATATATATATATATATATATATATATATATATATATATATTATAAATCACTGATTATTATCAGAAATTTTCAGTTGTTGAAGATTAACCTAAACTGTAAGGAGAATAATTCTTTTACATTTAAGAAAATGTGTTTTTACTATTTTTTTCTTTTTTTTACTTCAGTTTTTCTAATTTGTGCTTTTTATTTTCCAGAAGCTCATCAAAGGAGAAATTATCACTGATCCTCTGAGATTTTCCATCTCTTCTTTGGAATTAATCTATATTTTACCATTTTATTGGAACTTCCATTGGAGTGTTTACCAGATGAGAAAAGCTATTTGCTGAAGATATAACAATATGTCATGGAGACATTTTTTATATTTTTTTCTGATTTTGTTTTAAATAATTTTTTTTTTAAATGTCATTTATAATCTAAGATATATTGGTTTATATTTGCCTATCTTGCATTTATAATTCCATGAAATTAATTTAATGATTTCATTGAACAATTTTGAAAAGTGTTGTATTATGTCAGATTTCAAATTAATTCAAGTAACTAAATCTAAATTTTAAATCTATAAAATAAACTATTTAACAAATTTATTCATCTAATTTTCTTTGTGGCTAATTGGAACTAGTAAGTTATTGTTATAAATTTAAATCTTTTGTATCCTGAATTTGATTTCTCTTAAAGAAAAGGCATTGTGTGATAATGCTTAACTCTTAAATTACTCAGCTTAATAATTAAAAATTAATGCTTTGAACTGATTTGATAGTGAGAAACATTCAAAGACTTTCTCTTAATAAAATATATTTATTGAATTTTAATAGAAAATGAATAAATATATTAATACTTTAAAAAATTTAAAGTCATTCTATTTTATATCATTCTTAAACAAATTTTTTTGAGAAAAACTCATGCAAAAACCTTTTCTAATTTTATAAGCACATTTTATCATTTTGATTTTAAATTTGTCAATTTGTGAAATATTTTTGTTCTTTTTTATCTCAAAATTATTCCAGAATTTGCTTTTCTAATAAATATTGTTTCAGCTGCATAGCAGCTCCCTTTCATTTAAAGGTTGTAGTTTTGTTTCAAAGATGATAAATTTAAAAACTTATCTAGATAATGTTTTGTTTAAAAACATAATAAAATTAAAGAAAATGTATTTTTAATATTTCTAGATCAATATAGGAGCAAGTAAATGTTTAATATTTTTCATTAATCTGTTTTCATAAAAAATTAAATATTTTATTTTTAATATTCAGTATGTTCATTATTTTCTTCAAAAGAAAGAAAAATTATGATTATCAAAGTAGATAATTTATTGGAAAAAGTATCTTAAAAAATGAACTTATTTATTAATAACTTTATTTCAAATAGTTACAAATATCTAGAAAAAATACTCATTTTGTGTAATAATTGATTACTTTTAGATTGTTAAAATAGATAATTACCTTTTTTTTTAGAAATATATGTGGTCAGCATCAAATTTTTTCATCATATAGAAGTATTAAATCATTCATAAACATGCTATTAAATATACATGCTTTATTAAATATTTATATTATTAATTTTTAAAAAATTACTAAATTATTGATATGCTTAAAAGAATATATTTGCCTTATTTAAATGTATACACCTGAAAACCTGAGAAAATGTTGGTGATTCATAGTTGAAGGGAAATAACTGAAACCAGTAGCTGGTAATTTGGGATTTTAATAGATTAGGTGATGTGTTATATCTTTTCTCTAAACACAGTAATTTACAATCTATGAGTGGCTATCTAAATTCTAGCAAACATTTTCATTCAATGCCTAAATTTTAAAGTTACTTTAGATATTCACAATTATCTTTTGTGATTAAATTATGTCTTTGAAGGCTATCAAATTTTCATACTTATTATTTAATTTATTGATAATAAATTAAACTTATAAGCATCCATTAATTCTCTAGCAGTGCGTCAATGCTCTTTAGAATAATATTTTTATTATTTGTAGAGAAAACTATTGTAATAGAAACTTCATTAAATATTTGCCAATTTTATGATAATCTCTTGCTTTCTTGCTTCTAAATAAATATCTTTAGTTTTCTTATTATTTAAGAATGTTTATTTAGAATATGAAAATATCGTAGAATTGGAGACATTTTAAATATTTAACTTACAATGTAACTTTGAAAATCCTATATTTTAGAATTTTTATTGACTGATTGAAGTTTTAAGATTTATTTTAATTATTCATTTTATTTATTGATTGGTTTAAGGATATCAAATATGACTTACTTTAGAAAATACACACCACTATATTTTATATTCAATATATCAGATATGACAAAAACAGACTTTTATATACATCCATGAATTTGCTTCTAGAGAATGTGCAGCAATGTAACATTCTAGTATTTTAAATATTATTCATTTTCAAATATTTTAGTTTACTCTTTTTGTTATTTTTTAAACATCAATAACTTTTGTTATATCAGTTACTAATTAAATTTTTAGTGGCTAACTCTAACCATCATTTTCAGTTCATTGAAACAGTAGGTAGAAATAAATATATTAGTACTGCTAATAATAATTATAATAAAAATAATAGAAAAATATCAAATTAAAGAGTTTTGTTTTTGTGCCTGCCACTGCAGTTAACAGTAAATCAATACTTTTTGAAAATACTACTTATTAATCATTAATTTAAAAATGAATAAATGATCTATTTAAAACATTATTTCATACCACTGATATTTTTTATTCATTCTTAGCTGTTAAACTATAAATACACAATTTTTATTTCATTGAAAATATCTTCTGCTTAGCCATCTTTGCAACACACTATTATGATTATTCATGATAATGTTTGATAGTCAAATAAAACTATAGGGTTTTTGCACAACTTTCAATTTCATATAAACTTTACTTTTATTTCTATTGATCAGCAACTTTACATGCTAGAAAATAACGCTAAAGAAATCTATTTATACATTTATCATTGTAACTGCTAAATAGTCTTACAGTTTACATATGAATGAAATACCAATTTCTTTATTTTTAACTATTTTAACTGATTATTTTTATATTTGGTTTAATGAAATCAAAAATATTTCAAAATCTCAGTTCCTTTGTTATTATCAACATCATCTTTGACCCTAAAATCTTGGTTAAGGTCAGGCATGTATCCCTTTCCTATGTATAGCATGAGGAACCAGTTGAGTTTGTATAACAAAAATTTACCTGTTCCAAATGGGTTTTGGAATAACAACAAGCAAATTCCTCAGCACTTAGACCCAAGCACCAACCTAATGTCAGACTCACACAACAATACCAATTCTGATATATCTATAACCAACAAAGATACATGTCTTTCTGATAATGAAAAACAAAATTCAAAATTGCACAATCCAGATCAAGCAAACAGTCAAGTCACTGATAATTATATCTCAACTGATGCCATCCTCAATGCTCAAAAACTCTTCAGATGTGAGACATGTGGAAAGCTTTTTGCACAGAAAGTAAACCTCCAGAACCATGAACGAACACATACAGGCCAAAAGCCATTTGTCTGTTTAGTTTGCCTGAAGGCATTTAGCCAGAGGACAAACTTAAAGAATCATGAACGCATTCACAGTGGTGAGCGACCGTACGTGTGTATAGTATGCTCAAAATCTTTTAGTCAGCGGACGAACCTTCGTAACCATGAAAGGGTACATTCAGGAGAACGACCATATAAATGCATGATGTGTCCTAAAGCCTTTAGTCAGTTGACTAATTTACGGAACCATGAGAGGACACACACAGGTGTGAAGCCTTACACTTGTACTGTCTGCTTAAAATCATTTGCACAACAGGCTGAGCTGACATGCCATGAGCGGGTCCACACAGGCATCAAACCTTATACGTGTTCTTATTGTCTGAAAGCTTTCAGTCAACTGACCAACCTTCGCAACCATGAACGGATTCACACAAAAGAGAAACCATTTAAATGTCCCGTTTGCACAAAGGCATTTAGCCAGCGGACTGACTTGCGTAACCATTTGCGGGTACACACAAAAGAGAAGCCTTTTTGCTGTTCTGTTTGTCCAAAAGCTTTTGCACAAAGGACTGATCTTAAAAACCACATACGTACTCATTCTGGTGAAAAACCCTATGTGTGCTTAGTCTGTGGGAAAGCCTTTAGTCAGGTTACAAATCTTAGAAACCATGAAAGGACTCATTCAGGGGAAAAGCCTTTTTCCTGTTCTCTCTGTGGTAAGGCCTTCTCTCAGCGAAGCACTCTTAAAAATCATGAACGAACTCATAACATTGGAATAGACATTGACAAATATCAAGGAAAAAATAACAAATGCATGAAATTGAACTGTCATGATTGTGGTGTTTGCCAGGGTGTTGGTAATTTTGATCACAGTGCAGACAGTAGTCATGAAAGATTATGTAGCTCCAAGAATGAAATACACATAGGACTGAACAGTAATTCTAAGGCATCTGAAAATCTACCAGAGGGAGCCTCAGGGAAAAATTCTCTGACATGTGACATATGTCAGAAGCAATTTTCCCAGAGGGTACAACTTGATAACCATGTATGTATTGAATCTGCTGATGAGGCTAGCAGTCTCCTTCAGCACCAAACCTTCCTCAAAGAATGCCAGTCTTCCACGCCTAAAAGTCAATCTTCAAGTCTCATCTCCAAATGGATGATAAACTGTGTACAGCAGCAAAAACAAGATCAGTCAAAAGAAACACCTCCTATTAGTGGCAATAATTCACCACCCTCATCATCATCTCCGTCTGTCGTGTCAAACTCTGCCAGTCTTGTGGTTCAAAATACTCATCTGGCCCCAGGACCTGAAAATCCATGGTTCTTCCTAGGGAGTGATCTAGGGACTGTTACAGGTGGACCTGGAGATCTACGGTTACAATCTGCAATTCTGAGTTCTGGATACCTCCATACAGGGTGGAGTAATCATTATGGGTGGCCTAGAGGTTTTCCTGTCACTCCCAGATGGAGTGCCATCAGCAAAGATCTCACCTCTTCTGTAATGGGTACTGACAGCAAACCATTTAAACAGAAAGACTCTAAGAACAGCCAAAAAATTATCTCCAAAAATATGACCTCGAAACAAAAGTTAAACAGTGTGTGTGACAATCCATCAACTTCCTAGTGAAGTCTTAACTACTCTGTTACTGTTGTTTTGAGGTATTTTAATTCCTTAACCTTGACTAGTCTCATTTTATTTGAAAATTATATCCTTGGGGTTTGGAACAAATTATTACTATTATTTTTTATGGACCTTCAAACATGTACAGCATCAACCTATTTTGCTGATATTTATTGCTGACAATTTTATTCAG